CAAGTGAAACGCTCCACAGATTCCAAACATTCAGAGATAAGTAACAGTTTCTATATTTTGCCCTAACCCTGATAGGCTAAAGTCACCAGGTTCTGCATCATTCTTTAAATATTTTACCCATTTGGGGGTCAAAGGAACAAGCGTGTGATGGTGGATGTCCCCCGCACAAAATAACAAAATACGACTGAACAAATCCTATGTTGGGTACTACACAGATACTTTGCTTGATTAGTTTTTCATTCCAAAGCATCACAATTTTACCAGTTTTCCCCCCAATGCTTCCTTTAAGTGTCTTCGGGGCTCTATTCCGAGAACACTCTCAGTTCAGTAAATTTAACAATTTTTTTTTCCCTCAGTCGGTTAGGCAGCAGATTCAAAAGAATATTGCCTGAAAATTCCATTATTTGCTCCAGTTTCTGCAAGTGACCTTATCTTTATCTATTGTCCCCGCAGCATAAACTTATTCCAACCACAAATAAAAGGAATCATAGATCAAACTTCTGTCCCTCCAAAGCCAGCCTTGCTGAAGTTTCTGCGGGTGTTTTTGGCAGTAAGTGACTGTCAAAATAGCATTTAAAAGCTCGGCTTTCTGGTGAGCTTGTTAATGTGAGTGCCTGATACTCAGAGACTTTGGGATGTTCAGAATTAAAGGCGGGACCAGGGAAGCCAGGGTTTTATGTACAACCTGCCAACCTTTGCAGAGGCTCGTGAAAGGACTTCAGCGCGGAGGACAGAGCTGGCTGGTTCCCCCCTTGTTCTCATCAGGAGTTTGAATTGATCAGGAAACGATTATTGACTTGGAGAAGTTATCTTTATAGATCAATTTTCAATATTTCCTGCCAATTCACTGCTAAATTAGAATCAAGGCATGACAATTGTTGATAGGTAAACTGCTTTGAAAAGAGAATCTAAATGCGATTTTATCCGTTTTTTTTAAATAAGGACTTTTTCATTCGGTAACTGAACTTCCCACGGATAAGCCGTGTAGTCCAGTCCATTTCTGTAACAGCACCAGTTGCCCCACGTTCATCTTCCACTTGACCATGGCCAAGGCTTTTATGAGATTTTGATGACCATTTAAACACTAGTAATATAAAACATGCTCCATGAAAGTTGGTCTTGTGAAGACGTATTCCTTTTCACCCCCTTGCAAAGCTAGACATCAGGGATAATCACTGCTGACTAAACCTTCCTGGGGAGAATCGCAGATAGAATTTCATTCCAAACACCTGATTGAGCATAATTAAAACATCCTTTAGAAAATCTGTTTCTTATAACACTGTGCCAGACAAAAATGCGCGTTTACGAAGCTGCACTTGTAGGATTTCAGCTGCCTCTGCAAACCATGCCCCCAAGCTGGCAGTGAGCTTCTGTCTCTTTGGTTGCCAATAATAAATTATTGCCTTGAAGTTACAAAGTTCCAAAGACTTCTGTTAAGTCATTCATTACTTTTTCAAATATTTATTTATCTGATTATTTATTTTATTTATTTATTTTTTTGAGACAGAGCCTCAAGCTGTCACCCTAGGTAGAGTACCGTGGTGTCACAGCTCACAGCAACCTCCAACTCCTGGGCTTAAGCGATTCTCTTGCCTCAGCCTCCTGAGTAGCTGGGACTACAGGCACCTGCCACAACACCTGGCTATTTTTGGGTTGTAGTTGTCATTGTTGTTTGGCAGGCCCGGGCTGGATTCGAACCCACCAGCTCTGGTGTATGTGGCTGGCGCCTTAGCCATTTGAGCTACAGGCACCGAGCTTGTTTATTTATTTTAGAGACTGGGTCTTGCTTTGTTGCCCAGGCTGCAATGCAATGATGGTGTCATAGCTCATTGCAGCCTCAAACTCCTGGGTCAAATGAACCTCTGGCCTCAGCCTCCTCAGTAGTTAGACTACATACCCCCACGTTTGGTTATTTTTTTTTACTTTTTGGTAAACACAGTGTCTTGACATGTTGCCCTGCCCAGTCTTGATTCCTGGCTTCAAGAGATTCCCCAGTTCCAAGATTACAGGTGTGAGTTTAGTTATCTTTTTAATATGGAATGCGTCACGAATTTGCGTGTTGTCCTTTCAAAGGGGCCGTGCTAATCTCTGTAATCATTCCAACTGTAGTATATGTGCTGCCAGAGCAAGCACGGAGCCTGTTTTAAACGGTTATTTCACACATACGTATGTGTGCGTCTGTGTGTCTACTGCAACGAAGAGAAATGTCCACTTTATCAAATGTTCCTAACAGATGTGGAATGCCGTCGGTGAGAATGAAATTTGTGCAGATACGACGTGAGAAGCAGGTTTCCCCGTCAGTAATGTATAACCCATGTTAGTGAGTTCTGGGTTTCAGCTACACCACAGAACATCACAGTGAAGACGGGTCCCCCCACTGTTCGTCCCGTCCTGCTGACACGTCCCCAGAGGAGCTGCAAGACACCGAGGAGGTGACACTGTGTGGACAATCTGGGTTCTGAAATCCACGTCCTGTGTCCTTCACCCACATCACTGTTTCCCCGACCCACTAAATCACAATCACTAGCGACAGGACCCAGATGGCTGAGTTTAGTCTGGTTTAAACTAAGCCCTTTCTGTCCTGCACCAAAAACCAAAACCCCAAACCTCTGTTTGCGTGCACTCCCAGGTGAGAATTACTGCTCTCCCGGCAGCGTTGACTAGCATGTCTCTAACTAGCAAACGCTGGAATGCCCTGGAGAGCTGGCTTCAAGGGATGCCTGGGCCACCCCCCATTATTCTGAATTCAGCAGTCTGCAATAGAGCCCAGAATTTGTAGTTGTAGCAAGTTCCCAGAGGAAGCCAGGGCTGCCGGATTAGAGACCACACTCTAATTGCAATGCTATGTGGAGCGAGGCCACGTCAGATGCCGAGAATTGGAGCCGAGGTGCCCTATGTCCCGAGGTGGTGGTGTTGGCTGCAGGGCACCCATCCCAGCGGGGAGCATGTGTGAAGGGTGAGCCTAGGTTCTGTTTTCAATCAGAGCCAGCTGGGTCAGGCCAGCTGAAACTTTCCCACGCCTGTGCTTTAGCTGATCCAGACTCTGCTGCCCGTGGTTAAAGCTCCGTGCCATAGTTCCCAGCTGTGATGCAGCCGGTGTTTTGAGCAACAGAGTCTTCTTCCCAACTCTCTTCTGAATGTGACTCTGCCAGAGAGAAACTCACATGTTGGCTCTCCTAGTTTTAAAATGGAGAGACTCGTGTCATAGTGATCCTCTAATTCCTGGGGAAACCAATTTGGTCATTCTCAACCTTGCCATTTTCAAATTAACTCCCTGAGAATTTACCTGTCTTTAGTGACTGTCTTATCTGGTAAAATTTTGCCCAAGGGGCTTTACACGACTGCCAGGGCTGGTTCTAAAAGGCTGTGTGGCGTGTACTGGTTTCCTGGGACATTTGCTGTCCAGAAGCTCTACTTTGGGAGATTCCCTTCCCAGCAGGTAGAAGGCCTGCCAGGAGAAGTCGACCCCAAAAGGAAAAGCCAGGAAGATTTCTGGTTCCAAAATGGTGACGTAAAAGCAAGCTGGCTGCACGCCCCACCACAGAAAACCCAAACCAAATATATAGTGTAGAGAATTCACCAGCAGCAACCAGAATTCAAGTGAGGATGAAAGAGTTCCCAGGGCCACTGAGAAGCGAAAAAACCCCAGGGATGGTGAGG